GAAGTGACATAAACAGGAGACTTAACAGTATGTCAAACCTGAATTAGTCAGAAAAAGTCTGCGAGTGATCTTGCAGGGTATCTTGTGGTTGTGAGAAGCCGGATGAATGTGCAAAGGTGAACATTTTGCATGGAAATCTCTGCTTCTCAGACATCCTTTGGGAGGGTCACAAGGCCTTTCTTGAAAGGCTTTTTCCCATCCAGTGCTCCTCAGATCCCAAATTCTAACTGGGGTTTCAGCTGGCCCACTGAAACGGAACTAAAACACAGTTGCAACTAATTGTACACAACCACGAGAGCAAAAGCTGTGTTGTTAGGTGGATCTCAAAACTACACCTGAGTCTTGCTTCTGCAGAAGCTGCATAAATATAGAAAAGCTCCTCTAACTCTGCCTGGACCCCTGGCACCACTGAGAGCACAAGCAGTTGTATTAAAGGGCACCGATTCCTGATCCGGGGCTGTGGGAACCATTCTCTTTGCTTGATGCCTGACTTGTGTTGACTTAAACCCAAATGACTTTTAGTTCAGCCAATGTCAAAGCAAAGTTGTGAACAGGACCTTTTCATTCATGTTCCCAGTAAGCATGTATCTTCTTAAAAGGAAAAAAAAAAATAAACTGGGTCAGTTGAGTACAGTAAATAGTTCTGTCTCTCTTGTTTTGGGCTTTAAAAAATGTCCCAGTTGCTTAAGTGAAAATTGCTGTGATTTAGAGAAATGTGTCCCAAGGCCCCTCTTTTGTTTGTCTGTCTGTCATTAATCATTGTCTAAGAAATGCAATTGGTCAGTTTGCTTTGAGTAGCTCAGGGTTGGATGCTGATCTTAGTTCCTCTGCTTGCATCTGGCATTAGTCTGCTGAAGTGGAGTGACTCAGGATTTATAGCTGTGTAAATGAGAGCAGAGGTGATCATCTGAAGCCTACTCGGTTCTTTAGCATCTGGAGAACATCATATATTTATTAAAAAAAGCCCAACCAAACATCTAGTGATAACTGCTCTTTGACATCCCAGTCATGACATTCTTTCTAACAGGGAGACTAGGGCAAGGGTGGGAAGACAGCAAAAGCAGTTGGGGGTAAAGGAATTAAGAAATCTGGCCTTCATATGCTCATAGAAATGAGCAGGATACACTATTCATGCTGGGTTTTCCCTGCTCCTGGCCCCTTGGATTCAGTGGAATTACTCCTGATTTACACCCATTCAAGTGGAACAGGATCACTCCCTTTTTCTTTAGCAAAACAAACATTTGTTACTTGGAAAGAAAAACAGAGGAATCTTAAAATGTGACCCACAGCTGAGCGGAAATTCTCAGTAATGCAAGAATTTGAGTTTCTTTAGTTTGTAAACAAAGAAGGAACCCTTGGAGGGAGCGTGTTGATTAGTGCCACTGGGGACTGCAGAGGGGCAGCTCCTGCGGCCGTACAACAGGGCTTCATCCTGCCAGGGTCACAGCAGTTCCAGGTATCTGCAGTGGGAATGTGGAGGAGCAGCATGCTCTAACAGAGGAGGGGGTTGAGCTTTGGAGATGCTAACAGCAGCTTCACTACTGGCTCTGAGCCCCCAGGCAGGCCAAAACCTGGATCAAAACAACCCCAACTGCCAGAAGAAATTGAGATCCAGTGCTGAACTGAAGGCACTTGGGGGTCTACAGATGCAGTCAGATGATTAGAATTATTTCCAAAAGCACCCTAGCAGTTGGAGTGCCAAAAGCCCAAAGGGAATTGAGGTCAGATGCTCAAATGATGTAAAGTGGTGTGGGTTCTCCCAGACCCTACCTCTAATCAATGTTTTCTAGCTCTCTCCAGACCTCAGGTTCCCATAGCTCTCATGAAGGAACTCCCTATTCACTGAGAATGCCTGGTTTTGTCTTCCTTCCTTAAATACATCAGCACTGTTTTGAGATGCCAGTTTAGCCCAAGGAGAGCTGCAGAGCTCCTGAGTGAGGAGCTGTCAGTCAGGTAGGGAGAACCCAGAAGAGCTTCCCTCCAGCCACAGAGAAGACACACACATGCACACTCACACGCGTGCTGCTTGCTTAGCACAGTCCATTAAACTCAGCATGAACCCCAGGCCCAGCCATAACCCGTCATATTTATGGGGTGAATATCTTCCTGCAAAGGATGTGGAGGGATAATACAATCACCGTGGAGCCCCTACACTCCCTCACATTCGCTCATATCTCATACATATACTTTTATCACTGTTTCACTTATTTGGGACTGGAATAGCAGGGTCAGATCCTGGCTGCTTCTCCATTCTGCATGGGAAAGGAAAGGACAGGAGAAATGCTTTCACCCTCCCTCCCACACCCTGGGCAAAGCCTAAATTCTGCTAGGAGAATATCAGCTTTCCCACTAAAGCCTGGCTTACCAGAGCTGGCATGGGCTGTAGCTTTGGGAGGTGTTATGAGACAGGTATGCTGCATCCCACAAAGCAGGGCTGAGGTTTGCTCCTGCCCCCAGCACTGAGGGTGCTCTATGTTTTCCAGCAGCCACCAAGCAGACTGCTGTGGTGCAAGGTCTGTGGTTGGTTGATGCATTCTACGCTCTTTTCCCTAAGAAAAGGGCAAGCACACATGACGCCTGGGAAGAGCTGTTATTACAGAGGTGCTCATCAGCCTGCACGACACAAGCATGCTCCCCCCCCCGTTTAATTTTACAGCATCTACAGTATGAAAATAGACCTTCCCTTGTATCTGTCCCTCTTGTCACCATAAGAAGAAACACAGAATCACAGAATCATCTAGGTTGGAAATAGTCCTTGAAGATCATCTAGTCCAACTGTGAACACAGTGATTGATGATTGCTGACTGTTCCTGCTATGGCTCTGCTGATGCCCTCCAAAATCCAGAGGCTCACCTGGGGAAGAACAACCTCAGATACTCCAGAATTAGGAGCTTCTGTCATTAAAAACTGTACATGGAATTATCTGAGCAGGAGCCCCAGTGCAGGTGTGTCTCTCAGGAAAGAGAAAGGGTCTGGTTCTGACCTTGTGGTAGGAGAGACTTGACTCATGCAGAGGCTGAGGTGACGGAGGTGCTGAAGAGATTGGGAACAGACCTGTTGTTCCCTCATAGCTTCATTCTGCCATGAACTGATGGGAGGTGAATGTGCAAACAGGAACACCTGCACTCAGAAGAGCTCAACCACAACCAAATGAAACAATAAACCTTGCAAGAAGTGGGAATTGCTGTTCCCCAAGCTCATTTCATGGCCTCACCTGAGAGATCTGAGTGACAAGATTATTTTAAGGTGCCTTTTCCTGAGTGGCTTTGTTCTGTCTTCCAGCTACGAGTCAGCCACGTCTTGCTGAGCACACCGCGTGTACATCCTGCATCAGTGAGCCCTGCCACGGCTGTCACCTTCCTCAACGGTATTCACAGGGCGCAGTGACTTCAGGAGCCAACTCAAGGGGAGAAGACAGAAAACAGTTTCACGCTGACTCCTTCCCAACCCTGCTGTGCCCCACGTCACTTTGGAGTCGTTGGCACAGATCGAGGGTTCTCCCTTTTGTCTGATGTCATTAGGTGGGGGGACTTGGAGCAGCAGCAGTCCCTCTGTGGGGAAGGGGTAAAGCTGAAGGGTCAGCTCTCCCTCCTTTTGAATGAGCTGCACAGAGCTTTAGAGCTGTCCAATTAAAACAAGCCTTGGACAAAAATAGGATGAGAGAGTGCTACTTTAAAAACAAAACAATTAAGCCTATCCCTTCCCCTCCCTGGAGGCTCCTATGGAAGTGGCAGCTTTTGAGCCAGAAATCTCTGCTGAGTTGGGTATTTCTGGCATTCGAACCCAAGGCAGGCGATGACCTCCTGGCGCTGGCTTTGGAGGAAAGGCTGTACCGCGCTCATGGCAGCAGATGAGACCGGGCTTGCAGGCACTGACACGTCTCCCCTAAAGGCTAGTTATGCTGTAGCCTGTGGAACAGCAGAAATGAGATTCCGAGTGTGGGAAAGAGCTGAGCAGACACTGGCACAAGCTGCGCCAGCAGCCAGCCAAGCCCGGTGGGGGGCCGTGCAGTAAACACCATTGCAGGCCTGAAGACTGGGAAGGGAGAATGGGTTTGGTCTTGAGCTCAGAGATCTGAGTCCAGCACCAGGTCACCGAAACCTGGTGCTACCATGGCTCCACGAAGCGGGAAGCCCTCTCCAGAAAGGGCTGGGCTCTCTGCCTGCTGTTTGTGTGGCTTCACTCTTAGCAGGGATCCTTACGTCTCCTTGCGCAGGCCAGCTGGTGCTGATGAAAAGGCACACGGCCAGTAGCTGCACTGACCAAGCAGAATGTTTCAGTAATCTTTTTGGAACATGAAAGCCTTGCCGATCACAACAGTGCTGCTTTAAACGTTCTTCTGTACCTCATAACACTTTGTTTGAGCTGTGGGATGACGATCTATAAAGCTGGACTCAAAATGACCAGGGAAGGAGTGACTGCCAGCACTGTGTATATAACCTCAGAAGTTCATCCTGCAGTGAACACATCCCTTGAGCCCCACTGCCAGCTGAAATCATTCTCTGATGAAACCAGGGACTAGCATAATCACAGTGCAGTTGCCACAGGAATGCTAGGGGTAAAGTTCTGGCTTTTGTTATATCAGTGCAGTGTCAAATTAACCTCATGCTTCTGTTCCTGAGGTCCCTTTGTTGCGGGTGGTTTTTCTGCCACAGGATTCTTTCTTTCAACTCTAATTTTAGTTCATGTGAAGGATGAAAAAGGGTCTTATATCCTTGTCATGAGGCTGGTTCATGGGATTCCCCTCTGACTCAGCACAGCCTGGCTTCTTCAGGTGAGATCCGCTTGAAATACACTTAGGGCTTAAAATAGCATTGCAAGCTCTTTCCCATGTACATTCTGCTAAAGACAATAGTCCCACTGCGAGCATGGGAATTTGTCTCATTCCTTTTGTTTCTCCACATTCTTTTTACAGGATAGCAGTACAGACAAAGCTGACATATTATTTTGAGAAAAATTTGAGAAGCTGGAAGTAATTTTGTTTGCTTCCTTTGTTCTAGGAAAGGGATCCACGCTGCCCTGCCAGCCCTCCTTGTTTGGGGCAGAATGAACAGGCTCGCAGGGCTCACAGGCATTCGAGCTGTGTCCTGGCCCTCACTGTTTCCTCTGAAGGAAGATGAGCACAGCAGAGGAGGAACTTCACCCGTCCAGAGGACTCACACATGGAGAGTGTGAGTTTCACTGTTTTAGTGGAGAGGCAATGACACTGGTGAGTCTGTGCAGCTGGTTAGTTATTTCCCCACTTGGAACATCAGGGACACGCAGAGCTCTAACAGTTAATGCCAGAGTTGAGAACATTTCTGTGGTTTCTGAAGGTGTTGAGTGCCAAGTGACCAAGAGCTGCCCTGACAGGAAAATCCTTTTTTCCTTAACTCCTTGAAACAGAGCCAGACTCCACAGTTTTCATTTCACCTATCCCTTCTTTGAGGTCAGGACACCTCGGGCTCAAAATTGTAATAATTTGAGAATCCCCAATAACTGTTTTTTAACAAAGCCTCTTGACCTAACAGATTGGCCTATCTCTGCCAGGCAGGTCATTAATTTCCAGTCTAATGCACAAGGGAGAACATTGTGAAATGACTGCATAAAGAGGCATTAGAGTAAAGATGATTTGGGGCTATTTGCCTGGCAAAGAAATTGAACCAGCTACAGCTTTTCTTTTACCTGACTCATGGCTGTATTTCAGGGATCAGGTTGGAAACAACCAAGTGAATATTACTCACCTAAACTCTGCATTCAAACCCATCTCTGTGCACCTCTGTGGCCGGATGACATCACGCTTCTGAGGGTGAAACAATTTAAACTATAGAGGTGAAAATTATTGGTTCAAATAACTTCCTTAAAACAGCAGCAACAACAGCAGACTGAGGCTTTGTAAAACTTACTTGAAAACGTCTGTGGCTGCATCTCTGGGGTAAAATGGCCTAAACTGTAAAAGCTTTATAGTCTGTCATAGCAGTTGCTTTACCAGCACCAGGGTATTTAAAAGACAGTATAGCAAAAGCCATACTGAAAATAAAGGCTCTGAATTGAAAGTGGTTTAAGGAGTTTTGTAACAGTAATGCTGCTGTACCTGTACATAAAATGGTATGAAAAAATACAGCATTTGTAGGCAAGAACTAATAATGTTCCACTACCATCAAATAAAACTATCTAAATATATCAAGAGGGTTTCTAACACCACACAAGTTTCTGGGGCGGTGTTTAGGACAAGGGGCTAAGGGAGAAGAGAAGCACCCGGTGCTGAGAAGCAGCAGACTTCAGCCAGCGTACAGGCAGAGGAGCAGGGAGCACTGCCCCTGCTCACCTGAAAGCACCACCAGAGACCTCGTGCAGGTTGTAGCCTGCTGAAACATTTCATCTTCCTCAGCTTGAGTGAGTTTGGTCTATCTGAAGGCAATGATGGCTGCAGATACAGACTATTTCCTTGTTAATATTGTGTAAAATTATGCCATTCTTATAACAAGGCTATTTATGGAGCTTGGGACTTGTCTTTTCTTAAACATTTGTGATGTGAAACTTCTTAAAAATCCATTAGTAAGGAAACAAAAACCAAGTATGAAAGATCAACCTTGCAGACGTGTGCCCGCAACAAAAATGAAGAATTAAGAATACGTATGTGAAAGTCTCACACTTAACATTTTCCAAATTATTTTTCATCCATTTGTAACTTCCAGCAGTTTGTGCAGAACTTCGGAAGAATATCAGGTTCATTAACCAGCAGTGAAGTAGTTGGTTTACAACTAGATTTGAAGGTGCCTGCATTACATTCCAAGGTTAACTCTCCCTTCAGCTGAGAGAAGTCCCTGCCTCTCTAAAGGTGCAAGCCCTTTGTTAAGGCTGGCTCACAGTTACAGCCCCAGGGGCTAGAGAGTTAATCAAAGATGCATGTGCTGAGATTCATTTGTGCCACAGGAACAGGCTGGAAGAGCTCTGCCTTGCTGAACTTGCAGACCCCATTGACCCACGCTGCTCTCTTGGTCTGTGCAGTCTAACCTTCTTCTCTATTCCTCCGCACTGGCATCAGCTGCAGGAGGAACCAGATGACCTAAGGGTCCTTCCAACCTAAATTATTCACTGATTCCATGTAATGAGCTGGAATTTTTCCAAAACCTGAATGGGAAAGGTGTGGGCAGGCTCTTGTTGGAAGCCCAAATCCCTAATGAGAGATACACACAAGTCCTGGTAGGCCACCCACCCCTCCAGGTCCTACCAGCCTGGCAGAGCTCAGAGATCTGTTGCTGCCTGTTGAGCCTGTGTGAGATATGCAGCTGAGATAAATTAGGGAAGACCTATCGATTTCAGCAGAGCTATTTTGACTAAGGGGCTGAGTCATGGATTTTAGGGCAAAGAGCCTTTGAGCTTAGGTGATGCCAGAGGTCTCTGGAGAGATGGGATCCAGTGGAGAATTCACCCTCGCACCCCTTCAGATGTGGCTGTACAGATGCAGCAGTGCCTGGTTTATGCAGTAGGAAAAGCTCCTGGTAATTATGGCAGAGCAGCTGCTTATTCAGGGGGTGGCAGAGCTGGGTGATTAATGCAGTACCCACAGCTAGAGAGACCTCATGTCAGTCCCTTCTCTTTCACAAACCATACGGCCTTGAGCACATCCTTTGGTGCTGCATCTGTGAGGACCAAACCCCCTGAAAGACAGAGTGCTATTCAGATACATCAGAGCTGTGCACCGAAGGAGTCCTGCACATCAGGAGGCCTCCTTAAACGAGCCTGCCCAAGTCCACCTTAAACATACCCTCCCTCCCTGCAGTTTTCCTTCAGGATAATTAAGCATGCAGTAAGTTAAGAAGTGGAAAAACCCGAGGAAGCATCCATTTCACAGGTGGGTGCGTTGCCTGTTTCCTCCCAGGGCCTGTTCCTCCTGCAGTTCTGCACAAGCCAATGCCTTGGCACAAATGCTCCTGGCCCTGATGGTGACTCACTTTTCTATCCAAATTTTGCAGTTAAGGGTATCAGAAGATCACCCACTATCACACAACCACCTGGAGACCCGTGCTGGTCTGCAGGTAACAGGTATTTTTTTTATTGCACCTTGACAAACCTTGAGGCACAGAGCGATTGCCCTCGAGGTCTGATTTTCCACATCGACTGGTAACCTGGATGCTGAGCCCCGGGGATCCGGGGGCACCCGCCTGCACGAGCACGCCTGGTGCTGATGGTGCCCTCGGACAGGTCTGCACAGCCCACGCTGCCTCCAGGCACGGCCAGGTCAGGGAACAAGCTGTGTGTGCCCTTTCTGAACCACTCTCTGAAGGCGTTGAGCTATGGTGTGCCCAGGGTCACGCAGGGGTCTGCGGCAGGGCTGGGTGTTAGGCCAGGCTCCCCGCAGCTCTGAGCCAGAGCCTGGGCCGTGCATCAGCTTCTGCCTCTGCTGCTGCTGCTGCTGCTGCATTCAGAGCTTGTTGCAGCCTGCCAGGAGGCAGAATACAGCAGCTGGTCACAGCAGCCCTTGTTGCAGGATCTTGTGCATTATTTAGGCAAAATCCTCCAGCCTGTGTTAGACAAGAAGCCAGGTTAGATAGTTAGAGCAGTCCTAGCTGGCCTGAAAGCCCCCCAACTGGCTATGCCCTGGGTTGGGGTGAAGAGCCAGATTTCTCACAACAGAAACAGGGCAAAAGGGAGGGAGAAGACTGTCAAGTGTTCTGCCCCCAAACCCAAGGCCTGTTTTTTGCTAAGAGCTCGACACCTGTGGTGCTCTGCTTTGGGAAGGCTTCTTGTTGCGTGTACATCCTTGCAAGTGTTGACTTTCTTGCTGTTCACATATTCTGAAGTGGGAACCCTGAGCACTGTCAGAGAGGGTTCAGTGTCTCTCCTGGTAGCCCCTCTGGGTGCCCTTCATTGCACACTCTTTGGTAAGCTGCAGAACTGGCTTTTCTCATCCTGTCAAGATCAGGCTCCAGAGGGGCATTTTTATTTTCAGAGGAGAATGCATGCTTTTGCTGGCAAGCTCTGTGTCTAAGCACTGTCTCTGTCTGAACTTGTGATGCCAAGACTGCTTTTATACATTTACTTCCTTTATAAGGACATCAGCAGGCACCCCACCCATCCCAAGTTTTGCATCCCTTGATAGGCTTCGATTTCACAATAAATCCTCAAATACAATGGAGTGTTCCTTCCAGAACTAAAATAACCGGAGACTTCATTAGCGAACTCTGCAGCCAGGGACAAAATTTGTTCCCTGCTTGACATCCTTAAACGATGGGCACAGCAGAGTGTCCTCGCCCTCAGGGGTGCAGTATCTGGCAAAACAGGCAGAGAGGGGAATCCTAATTCTGCTGCAACCAGTGGATGTTTCCGTGTAGTCGGGATTTCATCCCAAGGCTGGGCTGAAGTGGGGAGGGGGGGGGTTTCCTGCCCTTTCCGTCCTTAGGGCAGGGTAGCCTTTCCCACCCAGATTAGAGTCAGATATGCTGTAGCATTTAGCCTTTGCTGAGCTTTAGCGTTGCCTTTATATGCCACTTTTTCTTGATAATTTACAGCAAATAACATCTTGGTACAGCTGATGCATATGGAGCAATGGAGATGGGGACCATCAGAAGGCAGTTCAGGAGCTGCAGTCCTTACAAAGACAGCCTAGAGAGATTAGGCTTCTAATTAATGAAGTGTCCAAGAATTAGATGGTGTGAGTCTGACCCCAGATGTCAGATGCTGAATTAGAACTGAACTTGAACTGGAACATGGGTCTGTAAGAGACCTTCTTAGCTGTGAAGTCTCTGAGAACCATGTTTAACCCCAAAGCATTCAGAGACCGCTCACCTGTCCCACCCCAAAGCACACGGACCTGCACAACTTCTTCCCAGCCTTGCAGCAAACTTATGGCCTTGAGAGACATTGATGGGTTTTTTTATTAGTAATATACCACAGATGGAGAAATCAAGTGTCACTTTTGTATCATCTGGAGAGAAGCTGGGTGGAAGTTCCCATCCAGTCTTAAGAATTGTGTCTTATTATTGTCTCTTAGGCTACAGAGCAAGGCAAAAAGCAGGGGACAGGATTCCTTCATGGCCCCGGATCTGGCAATCAGTTTACCCTCAGCACGTGAGCAGGATGCATCAAGCAGGCATCAGTAGTTGGGTAATGAACAATTAAATGAAATTGCTGTGTTTCAGACCATCTAGCTGGATGAGCCTCATCATCTCTGCTGGGCCAAATCTATGATATAATTTCAGCAAGGCTCATGAAATTAAAAGAGTGCCAAATTAGAGTGATTGCCTGTGATCTGCTCCAACAGGGACTTTTGCTAAGGCTGGCCAGCTGTGAGAATGAAAACCTTCCCAAAAAGAGCAGTCCTGAGAGCCACCAGCATGTCCTGCGGACAGCCGAGCAGCTCTGAGGTCACTGAGGACTGGGTAAGCATGCTTCCCCCTACAGTGCTGCTTGTACCGGCTTTTTATTTTGGCTTCTGTGGGCAGAGTGCCACTGGGAGAGATCATGCTGAGCCAAAAAACTGCGGGTGTGCTTGCCTTTATTTTATTATTTAGCCTTACATGATTTTTAGCAATTATCTAAACGTCTTATTTTTTTCATTACTATAAATTCGGGAAAGCTACTGGTTGGGCATGGTGAGTGAACGCAGAAGAACCTAACAAGGTGAATTAAACACCCACTATTCTTTGCTTGGGGGAGATTTTAAGCAGGGTTGACATCTTTATCCATTGACTTGAGGCAGTTCAGGCAAAAAGATGTGTATTGGTGTTAACTTGGGTGTTTCCTCTCTTTGATCATTCTGAGTCACTCAACCTTCATGTTCTTCTCTTGCTTCTTGGCAAGTGGCATGTCCAGTGGGGTGAAGAGTTCAGTGTCAGCACTAGGGGGGGTTTTGGTTGTCCCAGTGCCCTCAGAATATCTTGGACCACGGGTGTTGGGAGCTCCCAACATGCAGGGATCTCCATCTGACACTTGTCCTTCATGTCCTGCTGCTCCTCTACTTTTTTTTCAGCTTACAGTAAGAAGGTGCCTTTGTGGCAGACTGGCTCTGGGCTTTGAGAGGCAAAGGGGACTCTGCTGTCCCCAGCGACCCTCATTTGGGGGGGTTGGCCCTGCTCTCCTGGAGGAGAATGGTTCAAGTGCTGGTTCTGCTCTTCAGTGAAGGAGCTGGAGTGGATCCAGACGCTCGTCTCTTGGAGAGGCGGGGGAGGCAACTGGCTGGCATGGCAGAGCTGAGGTGGCTTGAAGGATGAGCAGGATTGCAACTCGGCACGTTTGTTCACGCTGCTCTTCTCGGGAAGTGAAAGCATTCGGGTGGATGATGATGAGCGGCTGGGTAAGGATGTTTTATAATCGAATTATTCTTTACTTTTACTGTAGGTTGAAAACTTAATCAGCCATCATAATGTGGTTTAGTGCTGAATATTCCCCACAAAACTCCTGACAGGTGAGCGAGTATTACGATTTTGGTTGAACAGTTCATTCAAGGTCATGCAGCAGGCTTATGTTAAAAGCAGAATTTGGAAGATCCTGGTTCGAGGTGCTTCTTGCACAAGGAGCAATGTGCGAATCAAGCTGTGCATTGCACACTGCCCTTTTAAAAATACAACAAATATAACTCCTTCGAACGCCCCATGTGGCTTGGAATTCAGCTGCGGTTTATATTCTTGTTGTATGAGAAAATTAGGTGTGTAGCACTTTTATCCCTGTCTTATTTACGAGCAGTGGGAGAACGTCGTGTGAAATGTGAGGCGACAACATCGTTTAAGGTGCCAAGCCTTCCAGAAAGGGAGGGGATGTATATCCAGCTAGACTGCCTTTAGCCCTGAGCTGCTCTGGGGCACTGGATGTTTATGCCACCTCCAGTACATTAAATCTTTTGTGTGGAGACATAATCCTTTGTTATGACATTAGTAGAGGTAGCTGTTATGGAAATGATTGTGAAATCCCTCATCTTACAGAACAGGAGCAGAAGAAGGTGCATCTGAGGTGGTTTGCACTGCGCTAACGCTCTCCAGCCTCAAATCCCAAGGCTTTCCAGGTGCTAATTAATTAGTCAAGAGTTGGAGTCGTCTGTTTTCAGCAGGGGACAAACAGTGGCATAGGCCGCGTGGAGGCTGATCTTGTGTTGCGCAGGGACCTGAAAGGACCTGAGTAAAATGCAGGGCTTGATTCCCAGCTGAGCTGCCCTGCACTTAGAGGCTGGAAGGGAGGAGACGCAATTGAAATGACCCACTACACACTCCCTATATTTTTCTTCATCTTCTGTCCTACTTCCCCGCACACCCTGCTGGGATGAGGTAGGGGCTGTATGGCACAGTGCACTCTGCGTACGCTCCTGCCCCTTGCTTTATGTTGTCCCAAAGTAATTACACAGATCTTTCACCTCTTCTATCCTGGACTCCAAGACATGGCTCCATCTTTTTAAGGCCACTTCGCGTGCAGCACAGAGGATTCCTGTCCGGTACCCAACCTGCTCTGTCATGCCCCAGGCCAGCAAGGACTAAGAGTGCCCTCTGCTGCACTCCTTCTCCTCATCTTCCCATGGCAGCATTCCGCTTTGCTCTTTGGGAATAAACAAAACAATTCTTTAATACACAAAACAACTCTTTCATATTCCAGAAGTCTTTTTGTGCTGGCTGTGCAGATGCCTGGTTCTGTATTTCAGCAGCAAACAGAACATGCTCCGAGATAAAAAAGTGTTATATCCTGCATCAATCCCGAGGTGCAAATAAAGCCCAATGGGGGACTGCTGTCCTTTATCAATAACCGTCACCCGTAGCTTTTCATTGCCTGGTAAAACAAACAGCTCCTCGTTGTAGGAGTTCAGACAGCAGCCTTTATAGTCATGAAACTTTCATTTCTCAGAGCTGGCAGCAGCAAGCGCTGGTGATGCACGGTCAGTTAGGGTACCTAATTGTGCCTAACAGCGCTGAACTTTCCATCTCTCCCTCCTGTTCAAAGGAAAAACATTGAGCCCCACAAAGCTGTGCTTATTTAAGTCCTCAGCTCTTGCAGCCAAAGAGGAATGGATGTAGGTAGGGAAGGGGGGGGGGTGTGTGTGTCAAGAAAGCTGTCCCAGGCTTCATACTTCTGGAGTCAAAAAGAGGAAAAATTAAAAAATAATAATCCTGCTTTTACTGGGATTTGATTTACCCACGTGGAAAGTAACCAAGCTGCAGGCTGCGCCGGCAGCCCCGTAACCGCCAGGGCCACAGGAATCTGCTCATGTTCCCTGGAATTTGGACATTTTTTGTTGCACCCATTTCGGCTTGCTTTCCAGATTGTCACTCAAGCGCGGGGCACGCCCCCTCCAGGAGGCTATTTAAAGAGGAGCTGGTGTGCAACTTTCTCCAAAGAGAGAGGAGAAATTCCGAAGGAGAAGGAGTGAGTCAGTCGGCAGCCTGAAACCCCTCCCTTCCCTTTACTTAGGATGTCTGGCAACTTGGGGACAGTGACCTGGACCCTGTTCCTCCTCCTCCCTGCGCCTGGCTGGGTATGTATTGCACTGCAGCAGCTCCCTTTGCTGGCTGGGCATTGCAGCTTCTGGCTTTGATGCATGCGAATGCTTTAGGCTGAATAACTCTTCCCAGCTGCCACCTGCAGAAGGTTTCTGAGAGACGTTTGGCTGTTAGCAGAGCAGTGCAAATGCACTGTGTAACTAAATCACGCTCGGAGCTGCACCGCGCGTAACGCCTGTCATCTGCGGACCTCAGAGCTCTTGGCAAATGTGAATGGATTTCGCTTCACTCCACTCTTGTGAGCTAGAAGCCAGCCCTGGTTTACAAGGGGGGAGAAGAGAACAGAGAGAGGTGAAGTCACTGAGTTTATGTCACTGCAAGGAATAAAAATCTTATATCCCAGTTCCTTACCATCACCGTCCTTCCTCAGCTGCCACTGAATCCACCCATGTGCTCCCAAAAACAGTGATCCCGAGAGGGAAATTAGACTGCAGCCTCTCCAGAGCAGGATTTGTGCCTGGTTTTCTGTTAATACAAGTGTTTTTCAGAGCAGCTGATTCTGCTTAGGACTTCTGTGTGCTGTTACAGTGCCAGTAATAGCAGGAAGGTTGCTGCAGTCATTAATGTATCTAAATTGCAGTAAATGCCTCTTGGATCGGTGAAGAGATCGGGTTCGCAGAGCCACTGTGCCTTGCACGGCTTATTGTGCTGATAGATGCAATAAACAACTGCTTAACAAGGTTGTTTGATTGTTCCTGGCAGCACCCAGCGTGTGCCAGCCCCTTTCCTGCCAGGCAAGGTGTCCTGTGCACCCAACACTTCTGTCATCTGGGGGTAACTTCCCCGGTTTGGGATGGTCTTCTTGATCCTTGCACAAACGCAGCCTTGCCAGCACCAGACTGGTCATACAAATGGTAGCAGTGAATCCCACCACCATGACCATTTATGATTACCAAATTTGTTATTTTTCCCAAGAAAGGTTGGACCAGGTGATCCCTGAGGTCCCTTCCAACCTGGTGTTCTATGGTTCTGTGGTGACTCTGAGGTGATGTCATTTTCCCTAAACCTGTCAAATGCCTCAGAAATGGGACTTTTGACTTTCTTTGAGCCCTGAGAGTGGTGTTTAGTGGACGGAGCAAGGAAACAAGAGCTGTTGCTCCTGAATCTCCCTCCCGTGTTGTTTGGAGGTAAGAGTAGAAGCAGGCTTGCTGGGAGTTATGTTTAGCTCTGCCAGGCTTAGCCAGGGCAAGTCTCCGTGCCTCTGCTCTGTTTGTGAAATGGGGACAGTGGTTCTGGTCCTTGTACAGTGTGCTGCAGCAACATTGGGAAGGTGCCTTGAGAGCCCATGGTGGAGGGAGAGCGGGTATTATCCATGATAATTCACTGTTTGGAGTGTGTGAGTAGCTGTGTTTGGGCTGCTTTATCTACTGCCAGTCTTGGAGCAGGAAGGAGAACCAGTTACGTGTTTATTGTCTACTTCTACCTTGCAGCGTTAACCCCTGGCTCCCAAAGCACTTTTCAAACAGCTATCTCAGCTTCAAAACGCTCCTTTCCCAGCCCTTTGAATGCAGTCACGAGCCCAAATGCATTTTAAAAATCCTCTTTGGTTTGGCCCTCTAAGCTGGTTCCCTGACATTGACTGGTCAGGAATGAGAAGCCCTGACGATGCCACAGAACTGCTGCAGTGGTGTGAGCTCGTGTCCCCCTACTCGTGCCTTCCTGAGGGTGTAAGGGGAAGAGCTTTTATATGAGTATGAAGCAGGAAGAACACTCTCATTTTTTTCTTTCCCCCCAGGTAACTGGGTTTGGTGCTGGCAGTTGGTAGGAAGCTTGTTCTGGCTTGTCAGCTGAGCAGATGGGACCTGGTAGTCAGTGGTGGAGAACACGCATGGAGCACAGGCAAGGGAACCCTCCAGTCAGGCAGTTTGAACTCCCACTGAGGCTTGGCCATCTCTTGGGGTCCTGGGAGAGGCAGATTTACACATGGTGTTTGTGATTGAAATGAGAGTTGCCAGCAATGCCAGGAGCAGGGAGAGCTGATGTTCCAGGCTTTAGCACTTTACTGAATCTGTAGCCTTGATCTGGTTCTGTTCTGCTGCTCTCAGAGTTCACAGAAACACACTGCTAACCTCAACAGAAACAAGGTCAAGGCTATAGTGAAGTGAGGATCCTGCTCAGTGAAGGTAAAAGTGTAGTTTCGGGGACAGACCCTTCTGCAGAGGCAAGAAAAGGAAAGGTTCTCTAAGTTGAATCCCTCTGCACCCAGGGCAGTGGCATGTTATGTGGAATCGTTGGTCTTTGTGTTACGTATGTGTCTGTAGCAAAGCCCTGAATGTGAGTCCTTGTAGTTCTTTGGGACAGCTTGGGCAGTTGCCATGCTGTATTGAAACAGCTCCTGCAAGCAGTCCTTGAAAATACTGCAGGGTGGAGGGTGCTCCATGCAAACGCAATATCATCCATTATTGAGCCCATTTGAAATTGCTGTGCAAGCGAATTAAGTAATGGAGAGCTCTAGGAAGTTGGTTCAATGTTGACTTTCTACCAGCTGTTCCCAACTCAAGAAGTTCCCCTCGCCAGCCAGTTATTCAGTGCTCACTGTTGAGTGTGCACGAGCCAAAAAAGATTTCAGCTCATTCTCTCCTCTCCTGGGCCCTGTGAGAGGAGCGGGAATTATAAATAGCATGAGCTGACTTTGCTCACTAATAAAACAAGCAACGAGGAGCCCAAGCACACCCTGGGCCCAGGTGGACTGGGTGATGAAGAGAGGCATGTCTGAGCTGAGTGACTGGAAAATCTTGAAGTATTGGAAAACCTCAAAGTATTGAAAAGAGCCCTGCAAACACGGATGAATTGGGTCTTTTAAGCTGTGCCTCTGCTCACAGGTGGGGGAAATGAGGCCCAGCAGAGTCACCCAGCAGGTCTGATACGTTGGAGATCTCAATCCAGATGTTCTTGTGCTGAAAAGCAGCTGTAATACAATAAGGAAGCGAAGCTGATTGTGAACAGAAGGTAAAACCAGGTGGTCTGGTTTCTTTGGGTGAGTTATTAAAGGAAATAAACAGCTCCAACAATGATTAATGAAGGCGAGAAAGAAAACTTGGTTGGGTTTAATTCCACTGTGTTCTCTGTTATCCTGGAAGAGGTTGTTTTGGTTTGTTTTTCAGTAGGAGAGCTATTTTGAGAGTGTTTCTTTATATGGCCTGTGGCTGACACTGCATTGGAAAATGCTTGTTGTCATTATTTTTTTAAGTGCATGGATTGCATCTTAATATAGGTTCTGTGTTAGGAATGCTTTGCCTCTTTTATGATCTCATGTACCCCCCACCCACTCATCCCTGGTTGAATAACACGTCCTTCTGGCAGCTACAGCGGTTGCATACATGAAAAAACAGTAGGAAAGCATTTCTGTATTTTTAGTGTCTTTTAATGCACTTCATCAGTCGGGAAGAGATCCCCGTGACACGCCGGCTCCCCGCGAGTGGCTCTGAGGCTGCTGTCTGGGAACAGCTGGGCCACAGGCGGGAGAGGCTTGTTTCCAAAATACTTTGTGCTCGGAGGTTTTCAAGGAGAATTATACTGATTCCTGCTGAGCAGGGTGAGACTCCGGGAGGACTTGTGTGTTAGGATTCAGCCTGATCCCTGTCCTACACCATACTGTGCTGGTTGTGACAGAAGTACAAAGCAGTTGGCATCTTCTGACCCCATGTGAGCTAAAGTCCCAGCAGCTGTTATGAGCAACAGTCGAAACAGCTGGAACAGTTTTACTACTGTTATTGGTGACAAACACAATATCCAAGGAAGCTATTTCACAAGCGAGGGCTGGATGGGATATAACAAGTGCAAACAGAGCCTTAACAAGATATTTTTTTGACCCTCTGTTCCCCCCTCCCGCCCGCCCTCAGGCTCTTTCTGGCTGCTGCAGCCCCTCTCCCTGCGTGGCAGTGGCGGGGTCTGGCAGCGGGGCTGTGAGGGCTCTGCTCTCCTCTTCAGCCCAGCCCACAGCAGTACAGCATCCCAAAGCGGCATCCTCTCCCTGCAAGGGCTGAATCGGCCCCGCTGGGGTGGGAGCTGGCCTGTGCCGGGCAGTGCCTGAGGGCTGCAGATTGGAGTAGTGCTCTTGCACCCTGCTGTACCACCTGGAGAATTTTAGTGGGCAGAAGCTGAACAGAAAACCAGGCTGGAGTTGGCACACTGGTGTTTCTGAGGAGGTATAAGAGGATCTTTAGTGACCTTTCACAGTCGTGGTTTTACATCTTGCCCAAATCTGGGCACATCCAGAGCCGAGGCTGGTGTATCTGCTCCAAGCTGACTAAGGACATGAATGCCACAGAGTTCTTGGAGTATTTGAAGTCCTGGGGTTTGGGGAGAAGATAACTAACCCTCCTTCAGACATAGCCTGATCTTTGTTTGACATCCAAAGTGGCATAAAAGCCAAGGGTGGGTTCCAAGAGGTGGCCAGCACTTCTGAGGTGCAGTGGGGCAGCTGTAGGTTCACGAGGTCCCCAGGAAGGTTGGTCACGCTGTGTTCCCTGGAAAGGGGAAAGAAGAGCACACATCTCTGGGAATAACAAGAAAGTTTGAGATCCAGGGGACAAAATGAGACTTGGGAGCTTTCGGGTCGGTTTTCAGGGCTGCCGCAGTTCTGCTGGCTGGCTTTGGGTGAGTCCTTCGCTGTGCGCCTCACTTCTTCCATCTTCGGGCTGGGGCTGCTGCTGCAGAGTGCTTTGATGTTTTCTTCTGAGCCGTGCTACGTAAGAGCTGGGAATTGCTTACTGTTAATAATTACTGTTTTATTGCTTCCAGGGAAGCGGGGGGCTGAGCTGCGCGTGGGACTCCGAGCTACTGCTTGTCCTGTTTGTTTTGGCCCTGCTTCCCAGAGGCATCTTTTTTGTTTCCTTGAGCTCCAGATGAGTTAGGGGTGAGAAAAAGATTAGTCCTGTGAGTCCTCAGGAGCTGCACGCACGTGCTCTGCAGCAGGACTCTCCGGTGGAGGGTGAAGTCAGCCTTCTCTCCTCTTGATGGGGTGTCTGTGCTTGAAGCAGAGTCGTGTTTTTCATTTCTGTGCCTGGCTGGCTTGCGGGAGACTCATTCTCTCCATGGCTTGTCTGCCCTCCAGGTAGAACCGCAGGCCTGCACGTATCCATGCCAGTGTCCCTCCCAGCCTCTGCAGTGCCCCGCTGGCACCAGCCATGTGTTGGATGCCTGTGGTTGCTGCAAGGTGTGTGCCAGGCAGCTTGGCGAGCTCTGTTCCCTGCAGAAACCCTGTGATCATCACAAGGGACTCTACTGCGACTTCTCCAAAATCCACAGAGGCAGCGGGATCTGCTTAGGTGAGAGCTGTATGTTCTGTTACTGTGCGGTTTTCTTGTGGCCCCTTCAGCCCTCTGCCCGCAGACCTCCCAGAAAACCCGAGGCGTCATCAGAATTTCCTGTAGTGCTCGGAGATTCATCCAGCACCAGGGATGCTGTGCCAGCCCACCGAGCCAACAGATTCACTGATACCAATACACACACAACCCACTTCCTCCTGCAGTGAAGGATGTTTCCGAAGGCACAGGTTGGGGTTTGTTCCTGTGACACTGTTAGGAGACATCCTCTAGCCCTGGAGTACCTGTGGGTAAATATCAGCAATCTGGACTTTTACTGGAAAGTAGAGTTGCTTGGAAAACCTCACCCAAAATCTCGCTGCCTTGCCCTGCAGACTGGCACTTGGCACTCGCCTGCTGACATGCAAGAGCCGTACTGAATTTCTGGCCGTAGCACGTGGGTGGAAAGAGCTGAACAACTTGTTTGCAAAATAGTGTATATGTAGAACATGAGAATTACTGAGCCAGGTAAATAAAGATGCAGACCTGTTTTCTCTCCTGGTGCCTCTTTTCAGCCAGAAAAGAAAAAAAAATATGATTTTCTTTTTTGTTTAGTAGCTATTTTTAGAGCGTGTAAAAATTATTGTGATGTAGAGGGGAAAAAAAAAAAAAAGGTATTTCCTCAGTCTCCTGTTCTTTGTTTAAAGACAAGACTCCTCTGCTCCTGTCTCTGCCAGGAACTGACCATTTTAATCCAAGGTTTCCGAAATAGTCAGGAGGGCTGGAAGGCTGATGTGATCGCTCTGTCCAGCCACCACACGGGGCGTCTCTGGAAACGCTCCGGCAGCCGCTGCGCTCGCACCAACCAGAGACAGGGGCCTTGGGCGTCGGGCTGGAGCTGTTGGCAGTGCCAGGATCACATACCATTGTTTAAACTCCAAATAATGAATTTAACTCGTAGAAGGTGTTATCTCCTTTCTTTTCAGACGTTTTTAGAAGTGATTTGTTTCATTTTCCTCCCCTGGTTGTTGTGATCTTTAGAAGCCACATGAGCTTCCCAGTACTGTCTGTAGGTATTGATACACCGAGGAGCTGAGGATCGAGGCTTAACAAGGTAAATGTGGGTGTAATAACATCCAGAGGGTGTAAGCTGTAGACTGCCTAATTCAGAATGGAAATGAGGTGTGGTTTTGTAGAGTAAAGGTAGCTAAATCACCAGAACAATTCATTCAGGAGTCTCCATCTCGAAGACTTCACATGAAGAACATAAAGAAACACATCATCATGATGTGTTGGGTTTGGTACAAAGATTTTGGAGTGAGAATCCCAGATCCCTGCTGTGTAGGAAATCAGACTTGAAGACCACAACTGCCTTTAAATGAAAAATTAAGATTTTCGTGGCAAAAAAAGTCCATGGTGAACACAGACCAGGGTATTTCCCTGAGTTGGACTGTGGATTTGGGACATATCCTTGGGTGATATTTTTGTGATGCCCACACTGATCTCTTAGAAGATGAGGGGTTTTGGAAGCACTGAAGGGAGCTGAAGGTGGAGTGATGAATTGACTGAAGGGAAAAATCAGTGTTTGTGGGTAGAGAAGTGTTGTCGTCACAAAAGACACATCTGATGGGAGCAGAAAGGAGCAGAGAGGTGTTCAGGTGTCACGGGAAAAGCTTCTAGGTTGGGTACCAGCCTGAAGGCCACATCAGAAGAGAAAAGAAGGGAACTATCAGAGTGAAAATTGCGATTTGTTTGATGTTACCACAGAGTGTAGCACTTCATGTGTTACAGAGGAGTTAATCCCTTCCCACAGAGACCTTGGAGTAACAGAAAGGTGGAGACGATCCTGTAGTAACGAGAGTAGGAGCACCTAAGAGTGTCAGGGTGGCCTGGGTGGGTGCAGGGAGCTGGCAGAGCTGCAGTGACCAGAGCAGCTCACTCGAGCTCTGCCGTATTCCCCACAGAAAAGGGCAAAAGTCTCCCGGGCTGGACTCGGTGTTTGGAGGGGGGTGGTGGCAGTGGTGCCAAGCGGAGCTGGTAAATAAAGAGCCGACTCACTCCGCTGGCACAATCCCTTTTGGTGCTTTAATTGGATCAGGTCAACAGGAAAGTGAGGTCATTGGAGGGTACTGAAGGGCATGACAAATGATTGAATTCTGAAAACATAATAAAACCCCTGAGCATGCTGCCATTCCTTGGGTGGGGAGGAGTGCTGCTGAGGGAACAGCACGATCTGTTCATTGGGAAGGGAGAGGGCTTGAGCTAAAAAACAGCGAAAGAGGATTTAAAAATAAGTATGAATGGTTGTGTAGAGGGAAAGTGGATGGCTTCCCCTCTGATGGAAAAAGTGAGGATTTTGAAACTTCTAAGTAGGAGCACAGGAGTATTTTTATACCAATGGCATTGAAAAGAGTTGCAAGTTGAGATCCAGCTCTGGTTAGAAACAAGGCATTAGCAGCCCGGAAGGATTTGTGTCCCCTCAAGGACTAGGTGGGATGGAAAGTGGCTCTCGCTCCATGTTTGGTCCAAACTCTTTCTGTCTGAGACAATGTTCCACGGGTGAGCAGGACTAAGGGGAAAATAGATCAGGTTTCCTGGTAAGCCTCCGCAAGCAGCCAAGAATCCTTCGTTTTGGTAACTTCCCAATAGAGGTTTGCATGAATTTTTTTGTTTTTTAAGGGTCAGGATTGCAGAAAGCAGCAGCTGATGAGAACTGTCCAAAAGCAGGATTTCTGTCCTGTGAACAACTCTGAGATTTCAACATTTCATTTCAGGCTGAAGGGGAAAAAAAAAAAAAAAAGTAGTAGTCTCAAAACTTTCCATGAGTTATTTAGAATACTTGCTTGGCTGTGTCAAAACTTTCCACTTCCATTATATCAAAATGTTTCATCTTGATCTTTATAGTATCTAAAATAATCACTCGAGCAAAATGCTTCCCCTATGGATACTGTCCAACACGTATTTTGGTTGAGCTATTGTAAGAGCATAAAGGAGATCTTTGATATTGAACTGAAATACTTCAGTTGTTTCTCATTGAAAACATTCTTGACATTGATCTGTGCCTGCAAAACTTAATCAAATGAGAGTTTTCTGCTGGAAAACTTCCACTGGAAGAATTTTGGCTAATACAGACGTAAGAACTTGTGAGAATTGCTCGCACCCCCAGGCTGAAGTTTGCTCCTATGTGTCAGATAATGGTTGTGTTCTCTCTTTTGCTCATCTAAGTTTTATTGGGAAGGAGTGAAGGACTCGTAGGAGGGCTGGGGATGAGAGATCTGGAGATCAGAAGAGAGAGAAATAGGAAAAGTTGTGGCTGGAAGGAAGAAGAGATTCACGCATCACAGAAGAGCCAAAAGGTCATAAACCCAAAGTGTTATTTTCCTTTTGTAGATACTGTTAGACATGTGGGGAACCAACTGCTCTTAGGAGAGTGTTGCCTTTCGGTCTCCTAGGAGTGTCGAGAAGCGAAGCTGCTGGCTCACGTGTCGTGTCAGGAATGTGTCTTGCACAACACCCCTGACTGGGGCACTCTGAGCTGGACAGGAAGGCCTCTGCCTGGAGCACAGGCTGTTTACAAGCCGTAAAGACAGAGTCCGCTCATCCAAGTGGAGAAGAGATTTATCTAGAGAACTTTGGGAGGTCTGGCACAGCTGGAGCCAACTTCCAAAAACTGGTGTCAGGAGTAGCCTTGGGTCCAGGGAGCCAAATATTAAATGTGCCAACTTGTGCTGCATCTGGCCCTGGGATGGCAGAGCCAGGGAGTCTGCACGTGGGCACTTGTCCCTGGTCAGGAGCCCTGCGGTCCCCTGGGGCAGAGGCTGTGCTGCCAGGCCCCTGCCATCCGCTCAGCTTCTCCTCCTCCTCCTCTTCCTCCTTCCCCCAGCTCACGAGGGCGCAACTTGTGACCTGCTGGGCAAGATCTACCACAACGGGGAGAGCTTCCAGCCCACCTGCAAGCTGCAGTGCATCTGCATGGACGGGGCCATCGGCTGCATCCCCCTCTGCTCCGACGACCTGCGGCTCCCGTCCCCCGAGTGCCCCAACCCCCGGCGGGTGAAATTTCGCAATAAGTGCTGTGAAGAGTGGATCTGTGAGGAGGGCAGCGAGGAGAACCGCTTCGAAACAGCCATGGCAGGTGAGTGGTGGGCAGAGGGGCCGGGAGCTGTTTGCTGGGGGATAGGGGTGGTTCCAAACTGCCTTTGGACTGGGGCCCTAAGTCACACCTGGTTTGGGACTGGTGCTAGCTGCTCACTTTGTGCACCGTGGTGTGGGTACCAGGTGTGGAGGGGCTACCCCAAACCCATTTGGGTGAGACCTCAGTGATGCTGGGGGGAGGCTCGCACACCCTCAGGTACCGCAGCAGAACTGGCTGGAGCTGGGCGGAGGTAGGAAACGGCCCCGTGCTTGATGTGTGCTCCTTCTGCTGAGAGGCTGAGGAGCTCACGGGATGGACCAGACCTTCGCTGCTGTCCCTGAAGAGTTAGGCCAAGTTGGGAGCGGCCACAGAGCTGCCACACTTTGTCCCAAGCCCTGAACCTTGCCTTGTGTCTCTGTCGTGGCTCAGTTTTCAGGGAGGATCCAGCACACAAACCGGAGCTGAATAACCTGCAGGAGAACTGCCTGGTGCAGACCACCGAGTGGAGCGCGTGCTCCAAGAGCTGCGGCATGGGCATCTCTGCCCGAGTGACCAACGACAACCCCCAGTGCCGCCTGGAGAAGGAGACCCGGCTCTGCATGGTCCGGCCCTGCGACTTCCCCGTGGAGAAAACCAAGGTACTGGGTGCGGGGAGAGGGGACACAACACCCTGGACGCCAGGGCTGGCCTAGCTAGGTGATTGTCTGGCACGAGCCTGTCTCACAGGGTTTGCTCTGCGCTCCCACTTTTTCTGTGTCCTGTCGCCTGGTGATGGAGACAGAGCACAGGCCTGCGTGGACCTTTTGTCTGATTGTCCTTGTTAACCCGTCTGCTCTCTCCCTAGAAGGGGAAGAAGTGTGTGCGGACCCCAAAGCCACGCCAGAGCCTCCACTTTGAGTTTTCGGGCTGCACCAGCACCCGTTCCTACCGGCCCAAGTTCTGCGGCAGCTGCACGGACGGCCGGTGCTGCACCCCCTACGTCACCAGCACCGTGGAGGTGGAGTTCCGCTGCCCCGAGGGGGACTTCTTCCAGCGGAAGATGATGTTCATCAAGATGTGCTCCTGCCATTACGACTGCCCCCGAGACAACGACATCTTCCTGGCCACGTATCACAGGAGGATGATTGGAGACCATGTCAAGACAGAGAGGCAGTAGCCCTCTCCGTGCCAGATCCAAAGGCCAAGGTGTCAAGAGGGCTCTGCAGCGCTTTCGTGGCTGCGTCCTGGGACAATGCAGCCTCTTCCCCCTCTGTGAGGGGCTGTGCTCTTCAGAACAGCACCATTTGCCATCAGCGGGCCCAGTGGCTTTCCTAACACGCCGAGGTGCGTGGGGGAACAGCTCCCTCTGCCCCAGGCTCTGACTTTCACCCGTGGTGGTGCGAAGGTCAGTGAAGGAACCAGAAACAGGCTTGAGCTGCAAACTTGATCCATGTTCCTGCTGAGCAGGTGGGAGAGTGGATCAAAGCCACATGGCTCCAGCCTGTCTCCAGCTGAGAGCACAGCGGGTACAACTCCCCGTGGCCACTGGCCTGCCAAAGCCATGGGACAGGGCAAGCCCAAGAGCCCTGAGCTTAAGCCGAGCTCTGGAACCTGCTTTCCAGCAGAGCAAGGCTCTGCTGCATGTTGATGCAAAGCTTCTTGGTGAGGAAAGTGGTCCTGGCTCCGTGCTGGGCTCCTGCTGTGTTTTAAAATTATTTTTGGCTAATTGGATCCAACAAGTTGGCAAAAGCTCTTCCCCATCCTTGTGCCCACCTTTCACCCTCCCACATGCTCTCCAGCCAGCAGCTCTGTTCTGGATCTCTTTGCTCCTAGAGAGGCCAGATCATTTGCTGGGCGACCCCTTCTCCAGGCAGCTCAAGGCTGAGATGTCTTTTTTTTTCCCCATTAAATTCTTTTTAGCTTGGGCTGCCAGTGAGGGTGCCAGCGAAGACAAGGAAACAGCGAGTTGTGTAGTGCCGCAGCAGGGGACGGAGCATGGCTCAGGGCCCCCTCCAGAAGATCTGAGCCCAGGAAGGATTTTCTTCACAGAAGAAAGGATTCGGCCAGGCTGTAGCTTTGCCCCTGGCACTGGTGGGGAATGTCCCTGGGGCCTGTTTCAGACCCAAGGAGCTCTTCTGGCATGAAATGGGGCTGAGCCAGGCTGCGGGAGCCACTCCTGGCAGATTTTGGTGCCATGACAAGCACGTCCTGTTGTGCCTTTCGATAATCTCTTCAGAAACGGCTCTGGGGTGGGAGAGGGGCTGGACTCCTCCAGCTCACACATCCACAGGGGGGCTTGCAGCTCCATTTTGGCTCCAGAGTCTTTCCTGGTGGGTCAGAAGTTGGAGGAACACAGTTCAGCTCTGGTCTCCCGGGGTGAGTTTAAGGCACTGGCAAGAGAAATGCCGGTATTTGTAGATAGAGCAGATCCTGTCGGGGGTCCCCGGGGCAGCAGCACAGGGAGCTGCGTGGTGCTGGGCTCTGCAGCAGTGGGATTCCCTTCTTGCCAAATCTGCCCTTAAGGATGAGCCGAGTGCTGGCCCATAGCTCCGGGAGAAGCCACCAGCACAGGAGCCGTCCCGTGAGGCCCCAGCCCGGCCGCAGCAGCAGCTCCACAGTATCTCTGAAATCTCACTAGTTGTGCTGATTTTTAGCAGAAACATCCACGTGAAGGGCCTGATCTCGTTCCTTTAATCTTCCCTGCTTTTCACTACGGGAAATCACGACGAGTTGCTGTCCCGGCGGGGCAGGAGCAGGGGCCACGCTGCAGCACCGAGGCTTTACCCCCCCACATCTCCCAGCCCACAGCAGGACCTGGTGCTCGGGGCCTGTGGCTCCTCTCAGCCTTCTCTTTTCTTCCTCTCTCAGCCTGCGGAAGCTCGTGAGCCTTCAGCCTCCTGTAATCAATTTGAACTGTAAATAATTTATCTGATGTTGTTTCTTGTTTTTTTTAAAGGCCTCTGTACAGTTCTTGTATCCTTTTAGCACAACCTTGCTTGGGGCCTTTTCTCCCCTTGCCCTCCAGGTCTGCTCTGAACTTTTCTCCTGCCTGTTTACACAGTTTCTGAGTGTAAAACTACGGTGAGGTTGCACTTTACTCAACGCTAATAAATATCGCTTTATTTTTTATATCCCTGGCAGCATCCCTCTGTGCAAGGCTCCTGCCTGGCTTCCCCTCCGGCCTTTCCCCAGTGCCACCAGCCTGGTGGGACCAGTGCTGGGACTGCTGAGGGCTGGTATGGAGGG